AAGAAGAGCTGGGTGGGTTGGACAAGGCCCTGGCAGGAGGAGCGGGGCTGGGGGAGCCGCTGGCAGGGTCTGGCCAGGGTCAGTCCCCTGAGCCAGCAGCTCTCGGTCTACCTTGGCGTGGTGGTGTTGGTCCCCTCTGTCCCCTGGGAACAGCACTGGTGAGGAGCCTGTAGCCACCATGGATTTGTGTCCTGACGTGTCGGATGGGACTTCTCCAGCCCCTCTGAGAGTTTTCCAGCCCTGGTCCTGCACGCTTGCTCCCTTGGTTTTTCCCCGCATCTCCCTTCTGCCCACACAGACTCTGGCAGTGCAGGGGGCCGGACTCCTCTGCCAGGCAGCCCCTTCCCTGTGCCAGGCAGCTCTGAGTGGGACACGCGATTAAGTCTTGATTTGTTTTGTTTCTCTCCCCCTATGCTGACCTCAACCCTTTTTTTCCAGGTGTACGAGGTAAGTCCTACGCCGTCCCCTCCACCCCATGCTGTGCCCGGCCAGGGCCCTCGCTCGTGTCATGGGACGATGCTCATAACGCTACCCATCCCATCCATCCCACCGGCACTAACCCCCAGCACGGGCCATCCCAGGGCACCCAACTGAGCTGCACGCACCTTGACTGCTTCCTTTGATGTTAAGGCCAAATAACGCACCCACGCAGAGGGGCTGAGCAGCCCCGAGGCAGCAGGAAGGGCTCCATGGGTGGGGACAGTCTCCTTGCCCGGGGAGGGCAGGCACTGTCCTGACGCCCTGTAGCCAGATCTTTTGGGACGGGGACCTCGCTGCGGCGCTGCCTGCGGCACCGGAGTGTGGTGCTGCCCATCTTCTGCATTGCCATGGGACGTGGCCCCAAGTGTCTCTGTCCCCGCTGCGACCCACGCAGGTCCCAGTGCTCCCCTGCTCTGCTGCCATCGGTGCAGCCTGACACCCACCTGGTTTTTTTTATGCTGAAACGCGATGGGTTTGCGTCTGGGGACACGCCAGACCAGCCTGCCTGGTGCCTGTGGGACTTGGGCCAGATCCTGTCCCTTCTCCATCCCCTCTTCCTCCGCCTCCCCTCAGACCTGGCCCCCCAGGGGACGCGGTGTGAGCTGCGGGGACCTGTACTGCTGCTCTCGCACAGGCTGGGACCCAGGCCCGGTTTGGCCCCTGCGCAGTGTCCGCCCACCCTCCCTGCCCTCGGCACGCCGCTCACCCGCCCGCTGCTCGCTGTGTGCTGTGTGCATGCTGCATGCCCGGCCGGGACCCCCGGTGACGTCTTGCGGGGGGCTGGCTGACCCTCGGTGCTTCCAGGAGGACCCCACAGGGCTGGGGAGGGGTGCGTGGGGCTGAAATTGTCCCCTTGCACCAGGACCCCGGCTCCAATGGCTGGGTGGGGATGTCCCCCAAAATCCCACGTGCTGGTACGCCTGCAGTGGGGTGACTGTGAGGATGGAGTCGGCCCTTCCTGATGGACCAGGGTGCTGGTGCCGTGCCTGAGCACCCCGATGTGGGTGCTGGGGGGGAGCAGGACTCAGGGGACCCTGACCGGGACGCGGGTCCCACTGTGTGGGGCTGTCCAGGCTGTGCAACGCTCTTGCCCCAAAGAGCCGTGCGCCAGCTGTGTCGGCAGAGCGGGGTCAGGCCCGGGCACAGCCCTGCCTCGGTGATGGTGTGGTGTTACTGGTCCCAGCTCAGACTGGGGGGCAGGACCGGGCCAGGTCCCTGCTTACAAGGCTGCACTGTCGAGCTGTCGCTAATGAGAGCGTTTCTGTCTCCTGTAGCTACGCAGCTCCTTCAACAAGGCCTTCAGCATCAAGAAGGGACCCAAATCAGCCTCGTCCTACTCGGATATTGAGGAGATTGCCACGCCGGACTCGTCGGCCCCCTCCTCCCCGAAGCTGCAGCATGGCTCCACAGAGACCGCCTCGCCCTCCATCAAATCCTCCCACTCCTCCTCCGTGGGCATCGACACGGCTGAGTACGTGGGGCCAGGGCGGGCGGCACGGGGTGGGGGGGCCGGTCGCGAGGACTGCGGGCTCCTGTCCTGCGCGCGTGCAAGACTCGGTCTCTCCCTTGGCCCAGGCTCTTCCAGGCCCACAGCGAACTGGTTCTCCCCCAGCTGGAGGTGGATCTCCTGAAGGCCGAGAACGACCGGCTCAAAGTGGCCCCAGGGCCCTCGGCAGTGCCAGGCTCTGTCCCTGGCCATGTCACGAGCACGTCGGCCTCCTCGTCACCGCGGCGCTCGCTAGGTCTCGCCCTTGGCCATGCCTTCAGCCCCAGCCTGGGGGACGCAGGTAGGGGGATGGAGCTGCTGGCACGGGGAAGGTCTGGGGCAGAGCTGCACGTGGTGGGTGATGTACGGCCCAGACCCCTGGGAAGGGGCAGCTGGTGGGAACATGCTGCTGCTCGCCTGGAGGCAGCCGTGCGCGGGGATCCGTCGTGCGGCCAGTGCCACGCTCTGCCACGGCAGGGTTTGGCTCGGGCTGGGGACGGG